AAAAAAAAAAAAAAAAGAAAGAAATATAATGCCAGCCATGAATGTAGTTTTCAATTTTCTGGGAGCCATATTAAAAAGATACCAAAAAAGGTGAAATTAGTTTTAATAATATATTTTATTTCACCCAATATAACCAAAATATTATCATTTCAGCATGTAATCAATATTTTTAAATTATTGATGAGGTATTTACTATTCTTTTTCTTTGTACAACGTCTTTGGAATCCGGTGCATGTTTCATACAGACAGCGCATTGCAATTTTGATTGACTACTTTTCTAGTGCTCTGTAGCCACACGTGGCTGGTGGCTGCTGTTCATCGCTAAGGCCATCCAGCTTTGATCAGCCCTTTAGAGCCAGAGGAGAGAAGCAGCAAGCAAGAGGCTGAGAGCATGTCCCTTCCACAGCCCCCCGTCCATTAGCCTGGGACACCCTAGGAGGGGCGGACATCCTGCACCACTCAGGTTGGGGGCCTCATTGTCCTGAGCTGGAAATTAAGGCAAAGGCAGCGACCTTAGAAGGCTGGGAAGGGACAGAGCCACGATTCAAACCTAGATGATTCTCCTGCACCCTTTGCTGCCATGACACCTTGGAGGGGATCTGGGCCAGTTCATTTCTGCATCCCCAGGGCCTAGAGGAGGCTGGCCATCTAAGAGATGTGGTTGATGCTTGTTAATCGTTAGTGTAACAGGATGTTAAGAAGGACATTTCAGCCAAGGCACCAAGGAGGCACCAAGAAATAGGAATGAACTGCTGAACAAAATCAAACTGCTATTGTGGTCATTAAAAAATGGTTGAATATTGGCAATTTTTGAGGGTTCCACCCGGTAAAATGGCAGCTGCCTTCCGAAGAAGATGTTGGACCAGATGCAGAATGTAGGAAGAAAATAACTAAAAAAGAGTTGTTTGTGACTCTGAATCCTCTCTTCTAATTTGAGGATGTTAACAATTCAGACTTTGACATTAAAAAGAGGGGGAATTATGAGTTCTATTTCTTAAAATAGTCCCACCCACTGCCCCCAAGAGGGAGAGTAAAGGGAGCTTCAACAGGAACATGCGGGAACTTGATATATGTCATCTGGAGTTGAGTAGCCCAGGTGACTGGTACCCAACCCACTTCTCAGTCAATGGTTCCTCATCTCCTTCAGCAGGTATAGAATCTGTGGTAGGAATGTCCGCTTGCTACCCAAGAGGTCCCGCCCAAGAGGGAGCCTGATATGGTGAGG